AAGGTGTCATAAGTCACATTTTTCGGTGCTGTTGTAACTTTGAAGAGTCAGTAAATAAATGGTTGTAAGTCAAGGACAACCTGTACCACAAAGTCTTTGCTTGGATAATAAACAGGGATAGTGTACCCCCTAATTCCTTTCATAATGCAGTATTTGCTATTCTTTCTCTTGGACTGTTTCATCTAACAGGAAGGATTCTGCAATTAGCTACTTCTCTGGCAAGATCTCCTGCCTTTTCCTCATAGCAGTCAACTGTGGCAAGGCATTGGACTACTTTGATCAGATTGGATTTTTTTTTCCCCTATGCCTCTGAATAATTAAGGATTTGAAAACAGTTGCAGCAAGTCACTGTGAAAGCATTTATAGAGATTGTGAAGCAGAACTGTAATCAAAGGGGAGGACAAAATTATTTTCTTTTGAGGAAGCCCCCCCGATCGCACTAAGCTGAAATTTTTATTGTTTCCTAGAGAAAGAATGCTGCTTTCCTAGCTGAGTACAGGTCATCAATTTACAGCCACAATTGAGCCCAAAAATTTCCATTGCTAAGCAAGGCAGTTGTTAAATGAGCTGCGCCCCATTTTACGATATATATATTTTTTGCAACCGTTATTAAGCGAATCGCTGGTTAAGTGAATCGTGCAGTCATTCAGCATACCTGGCTTCCCCCGTTGACTTTCTGTGTTGGAAGCCAGCTGTGAAGGTGATCACATGACCTCAGGGCGAATGCCATAACTACATGCCATGCATTTGTCGAGCTTCCAAATTTTGCTCACGTAGTGTGGAAGCCGGTCACAAGTCATTTATTTCAGTGCTGTTGTAACTTTGAACAGTCTTGTTCAACTTGTTTTTTTTTTTTAAGTATAATACTATGGAAAGATCTACACTATCAAAATATTTTTTCTTGTGATATGGAAATAGAAACCTAATATGGATACTATGGAGGGATGTTTCTTGTCGTTAGAAAGGGAAGATGCTCATATTCCTGGGCTGAGGGTTGTCTAAGAGATGAGAACCTTTGGTTGCTGGGCCGTCCAAATTATTTTATGATAATGTATGCCGATTAATGTACATTCAAAGTGACGATAAAGCTATTATTCTATTCTATCGCTAACTTCTTCTATATCGCCTTTTACCTTGACTAGGCAAGCAACTCTTCTAAATTTGCTGCTCTTATTACTGAATAATAAGCTTATGAGTGGTAGGAAATACTCTTTTGCCTAGATCCGTGGTGGTGAACCTATGGCACGGGTGCCACAGGTGGCACGCAGAGCCCTCTCTGTGGGCACACGCACCGTCACTCCAGTCCTAGGCCTTCAGCTGGGTTTTACAAAACCTTTTCGCTTTAGGCCTCCGTCGCCGTGTGCAAAAAAAAAAAAAGGTTCAATCAATCAATCAATTTCAACTTCTCACGGGAAAAAAAAAGATCTCGCAAAGTTGGAAATGATTGATTGAATTTTTTAGTCCCGCCCAGTCTGCTGTTACCACCGAAGCCATGCCCACCCGGCACCCAACGATACATAAGTGGGTTTTGGGTTGCAGTTTGGGCACTCGGTCTCTAAAAGGTTCGCCATCACTGGCCTAGATTTTCTGTTTTCTGCTGACTTTCAGATTCTTTCATGCTTTGTTTAGGGAGCAGTGTGTGGTGATTGTTCCCGTCATTCTGTTGATTTTCTACGGCAGACACAGAGCATTTTACAGGGGAATATCTCCTTTCCATTTTTTTCTGGAGGCTGGTCTAGAAAAAGTTCTGATGTAGCTTCCTATAGTAGGAGGGCATACCTTCCTTCTCATTCTGATCCAGCTTTGGTCAAGAGGGCAACCCCCAGTCTTGGAAGATCTCTGCTCTCCTTTTTATATTTCTCTCCTTTTTTTAATTTGAATTTTTTATTTGAACTCTTGTGGAAGCTAGCAAATCTGACGCAGCCGGCTAGCTCACAATTCTTTGTCTGTTCATAATTCAGCCACCTTCTCCAACAGCTAAGGTGAAGCCAGACACTACCCAGATGCCCTTTTCTTTCCTTGTCATGGTTTTCCCAGGGAACTCGGGCTGAAAGCTATGCGACCCTCATGGTAACTGGAGGGTCCATTGCCGCTCCACTGGAGGGTCCATTGCCACATCCATTGCCGTAACTGGAGGGTCCATTGCCACATCCATTGCCGTTATTTCGACAGCCCAAGCACTAGAAGTGATAGAAACTGGTCGCTCGGGATGCCTGATTGCTCCACAACTTCACCAAAGAACAGCAG